GGGCGCGCGGGGGGAAGTGGCGTGCGGGTGGGGGGGGGCGCGGCGCCGGTGCTGTCTGGTTCCTGCGGTTCGTTGTTGTGGTTTTTTTCTCCTTATTTGTACCGTTGTTGTTCCTGTTCCCTCTGTTTGCTGTTCTGTTAAAGTGCCCTTATCCCGACCCACCAGTTTCTGCCTCTTTCTTTCCATTCTCCTCCGCACGCCGGCGGGGGGAGGGGCGGGCCCGTGGCGCTTTTGTTGCCGGCGGGGTGTCTGGCTCCTGCACAACTGCAGACTTCTGTCGTGTGCCTGCACACCAGCCTCTCGCAGCGCCGTGGGTGAGAGCGTTTGCAAAGTGCTTCACCTTTGGCGAGCTGTTCTGTTTTGGAGGAGTGTGTGTTGTCAGCCTCTGAAACTCTCCGGCATGCGGTGCTGCCTTTCAGGAGGAGTCCTGTGCCTGCACACCAGCCTCTCGCAGCGCCGTGGGTGAGAGCGTTTGCAAAGTGCTTCACCTTTGGCGAGCTGTTCTGTTTTGGAGGAGTGTGTGTTGTCAGCCTCTGAAACTCTCCGGCATGCGGTGCTGCCTTTCAGGAGGAGAACTGGGGAGAGCTGCGGCGCAGCAAATGTGTGTCTGGGAATGCCGTGCCGTGAAGCCAGCCCGATGCTGGAGGAGCTTGCGGTGCTGGGTGCTGTGCTGGTGCGTAGTACTGCCCTGCAGTGGTGAGCCAGGAGAAAGATGGTGAAATTGTTTGAAGTGTAAAGGTGAAGTAAGGTGAAATTGATGAGTGCAATGGTGAGAAATGTCCAGACACCTCGAGTCTTAGGTGGGGATGTTGTTCTGTGGTCTGCTGGCAGAGATACGAATTTAGAGTGGCTAAAAAACAAGCCTGTCCATGCTAATAGAAATAGCCCAAGATGTTTATAAAACCTTAGCCTTCCTGTTACTTTCCCTGTGACTACTTTAACGTGGCTTCTGTTTCTCCTTCTAGATATAATTGCTGAGGCTCTGTAAAATGGCTTTACGCTTCCGCAGTTTCATGCCATATGCCATACCTGGAGTGCTGGCACTTCTTAGCTGCTGGTGGATCTATGCCCATAGAAAAAAGCATGCAAGCTATCACGACAAACAGGCAATAGCCATTGAAGAAGAGCACCTGGAAGAAGTACCAGAGAATGATTCAACAGCCGGAACAGAAGCACATGTTCCTCGAAGACTGCCTGTCTCATCTGAAGAGGAATGCCCAGAGAATGAAACCTCGACCTCCCTGCTGTCAGCAGGGTCGACGACGCCCTCTCTTCTGTGTCGAAGTCACGAGAGGCTAGATCTCTCACAGGACCTTCCAGACCTGTCAGTAACGACTATTCAGCCCAGCACCCTGGAAGACGACAGTGAAAAACTAGAAACAATAGGATCTGAAGATGAAAGCAGCATCCCTGCTTGTGTTTCTCTCCCTCTGGTCTCAGAGAGCGCAGAGTGTCACGGCAGTGCAGCAGTGAGCCTCGTACAGGATTCGGGCTCTAGTGCAAACCAAGACCGGTGGCCGTCAGCATCGGTGACACTGACACAAAAGCCCTTGGGAATCACAGAGAACAGCAACGCAGAGCAGTCAGATGATTCTTCACTTAAGCCCCCTAAGGAAAGCAAGATGCCAGAAACTGTGCTGTCGGATCCTGGCTCTGTGACAGCCCTCTGCTTGGGATGGGAGAAGGAAGCCAGTACCCCACAAGCCTTTCTCAATAGTGAAACTGAAGTTGTATCAAGTCACAAGGATTCTGCCGTGAGCGTGTTACCGGATAGCTTGGAGCCTGCCTGTCTGGAGCCGTCCAGGGAGGAAGAGATGTCCGAGCCAATTGCCAGTACTGTACCTGTGTGTCAGGAGGAGGACGCACAGCCAAAAGAAGATGAACTGGAAAGAGAGAAGGCGGCCAGTGTTGTTTCCTCTGATCAGATGCTCGTGCAGGAAGCTGCGGGAGCAGATGGGAACGCTGCTGCGAAGGGTGATGTTGCGGTACTGACATCCCCGCAATCACGGCAACGGGATCAGAGTGTGGCAGGTTCCAGCTGTTCAGCACACGGCTGTTTATCTGGCCCTGTTCAAGGAGACACAAAAGACTGTCGGATGGAGAACAGCGTGTGCAGCGAGGAGGTGCTGTCTGGTTCTGCAAGCGATGGGTCCACTCGGATCTGCCAGGCTGCTGCCGGCCGAGTTGAGAGACCTCTGGAGATGGCCAGCTTTGTTTCCTCCGAGGTACTTGTGGAGGAGGCTACGAGAGCAGATGAGAACACTGCTGTAAAGAGTGATGCTGTGGTACTGACATCCCTGCAGACAGGGGAACAGGTTCAGAGTGTGGCAGGTTCCAGCTGTTTAACACACGGCTGTTTATCTGGCCCTGCTCAGGGAGACACAGAAGACTGTCGGATGAAGAACCGTGTGTGCAGTGAGTCCCGAGGAGTTGATAGGACTCTTGTGGAAAACCATGGAGAGGCACTGGAAAAGTTGCCTTTGGTTATGGAGGACTCTGTGTGCAGCTTGTATGCATCCGAAGGTGGCACAAGTGTTGAGGACGCGTTGCAGAACACGATGCTGGCTGTCGCGTCAGGCCAGCATTTGGTCTCGCTGAGCATATCTGCCATCCAAGACACGTCTGCTGAGCAGAACTTAGTACCGGGTGAAAAGCCTCCTACTCTGAAGCTACTTGAAGACAGCGAAGTACCGTACAGTAATGGGATACTGAAAGAGGATGGTCCAGACTTGTGCCATGGGTGTAGCAGGGCAGCAGGGATGGATGAAGATCACTCAGGAGGTAAGGGATTTGAAAATCTTCCTACAAAAACGTGGTGAATGTGCATTTTACGTGCTGTAACCCTTCTGCTTCAGAACATGTTTGGATAAATCCTCTTCATGTTAACTGCCCCAGTGGATGAGTAGGTAGCCCTCTGGTGCAGGTGGGTGTGCCTTTGCTCTGGGAATTCGCATCTCTGTAGGATCCAGTGTTAGCCCGGTGATCCTCAGGGTGTACTGCAGGGGGTGAACAGGCCGGTCCCCTTTCGGCACAAAGTGTACTGTCCAAAGCTAACCATGTTCTGGAGTGGCCCAGTGAAATGGACGGTGCCTGGATGTCGGCCAGGCTGCTGAGCACCTTGCTGGTTTGAGACCTGCTAATACACGTGGTTTCTGCTTAAGTTCAGGCAGCCTCTAGTAAGTACTGGGTTCTTATCTGTGTCTGTGGGCTGCTGCTGAAAGGAAGCTGTAAGGCAGGCTTCTGAGGTGCTGCTGGACGAACCCGGGAAGTGCTCTGATGAACTGTGATAAAATCAGTTGGTTGCAGACCAATTACCCTGAAGCCCTTTAGCTTGGAAGGGTAGGTGCATGCCAAGAAATCCCAACAGGGAGCAACGTTCGTGGAGTTTCTCCATCTGTCTCTGTGTTGCTCTTGCCTTCTAGGTCCTGGATGCTGTGTGCCTGGCAGAATACAAAGCTGCCTGGGCAAATGTTAACCTGTGTGACCTTGGGGGTGGATGTGAAAATCCTTTATAGGACCCTGTGGTGCCAACAGACCATAATGACAGGATGTCTTTGTAATTGCTACAAAGTAGTTAGTTGGAACGCTACTTGTTGCAAGACGTGGGGATTGAGTGTGCCAACAATTAAGGATTAAACCCACAGAACATTTTCACTAGTGAGAGTAACCGAGGAAGAGGATGGTTTTGTCTTCTTGTGAATGCTGGTGTGGCAACAAGGTACAAGAGTGTGTTGTGGAGCCAGGTGATGACAAGGGCTGAAAGCTCTGCACTGAGACAGCTGAAGGGTAGGGACAGGGGATCTAGCAGGTAAAGTTGATGATGTGGCTATGCTGGATAAGAGGTCCTACAGCTGACCTTCACACCCAGGCTGTGAGACTTAAGTCTTTGTCCTCGTCTAGGAAGTCTATGGCAAACAGCTGCACTGTTTATCTTTGGCTTTCAGGGCTTCTGTGCTGTGCTGCTATTTAAGATGTGGCAAACGTGGAGCAGCTGTTTGGTTTGTTTTTCCCTTTTGGTCTTACGCTGGATGGTCTGAATACTTGCAAGCAAGTGAGGATCTTCATGCTTCTGCTTGTTAATCTGGAGTAAGGATCAACCTGGTGTTGCACGGACTGTCTGGGATCTGACCAGGAGGAAGCTGCTTGAGTTTGTCCCCTTCCCGAGTGGAAATGTTCCTGGTGTTGGCTGATGGTTTGGGAACAAACAGCTCAGCTCTGGCACCTTGTTTCTTGAAGCATATGAGAAATGTGGGCAAGAGGCCACCACCTACCACGGCTAGTGATGGGCACTCGGGTCCCTGCGCAACGCCCGTGGGACAGGCAGTGGCAGAGCAGAGAGCAGGGCAAGAGGCTGCAGGTCCCTCCCTGCCTGCTGAACTCCCTGTGAAGAGCCCCGGGTAAGCCATGAGGAAAAAGCAGAATACCTTGCTGCAGCAGCTCAGTGTTGGTGTTAGCATAGCTCTCGTTCAGCTGGTAACTTTGACTTCTAGTGCCTTGTCTCTGCGGCTGTGTGAGGTGTCGGAAGGACTCCTGCCGAACATGGGCCCCCTTCTGTCACATTCCCAGAGGCATGCAGGTCTTTCTCCAGGAATGAAGGGAAGATTTCAGTAGGCTGTGTGTGACAGGACTTTACCCTTTCTGAAATACTGACGAACCAGGTACAGGAACATCCCAACTGAATGCACAGGAAGAGCTCAATGTAATCTCTCAATGAAATGACGTGTTTTCGTGGCAGTGTGTCTGGTAGCTGGGTTGTGTGGGCTGTCTGAAGGCTGACCCATCTGCATGTCTTGTAGGTTTGGAGATAAATAGCGTGGAATTTGTGGACAGTGGCTGTGCCATGAGGAAGACAGTGACTCACCAGAACTGTAAGCTAGGAAGAAAATCCAGCAATTCTGACTTCATTATCTGGGAAATAGAGGTCCCAAAGGTAACCAGCCGCTGGCCTGCTCGCGCGCCCTGCCCTGCCCTGCCCTGCCCTACACAGCCATCTTCTGGTTCTTCCAGTCTGGTACTGGCTCGGTGCCGTCCCAGGGAGATCAACAACAAAGCAAGGAGGATTTTAGCATTTAGCTCCCATTAGGCCAGGAATGAAGAGCCAATACGCAGCTGCAAACAAGAGGCATGTCAGGGCTGCATCCAGGCTAATGTTGGTTGTGGGGCTCATTATTGCCCATTATCTTCCACCTCAATCTGTTCAGAATGCTTTCAAAGCATCAGACTAAGGCTTTGAGGGTACACAGTTATTAAGAGCAGATGATAATTTTTTTCTTTCCAGTGTGCAGGAGGGTTATGTTTCAATTGCCCATCCAAACCCTTCCTCGGAAGCTGAATGCTCATCTGAGCTATTCTGTGGAGCTGCTGTACCTCTGTCTTCATAGTGAGCTTTCTTTTGGGTTGAGAGAGAGCTTGTGATTTTTGGGACCAGTTTATACCTTCTTCCTGTCTTTGTATATGTAAAATCACCGGTGGCTGTCCTGCACAGCATTGCTCTTGCAGTTCTGCTTCTCAGCCGACCCGAATGCTGACAGCCGGTACCAGGAGACAGCAGCTCCCAGCAGGACAAGCACGCTGCTTTGGTGCTTGGGTGCTGTGAGCCCAGGGAAGGCACGTAACGTGCTTTTAATGGGTCAGTAAAACACAGGCTAAGGAAGCAGCTCTGCAGCAGATATGTACATTTCAGTGGTTAGTGCAGACAGGCTGGCACTGTTCTTGAAGTAGCTAACTTCCCATTGCGTAGGGTTACCCATACTGACTCGGGCCCAATGCTTCTGGAGTCTGGGCTCTGAGAGCAAGTGGTGGCAGGTACCAGTGGAGGAGTCAGTGGCAGGGCTTGCACAGACCACAGACATCTCCTCATCACCCCGCATGGCTGTCCGGGGACGCTGCAGTCTAATGGGCATGGTAGCCTGGTTTACTCTCCTGTGTATGTGTCCAATCCCTTTCTAATCTAATTAGCTTGTTTAAAAACTGCCAAAACTTAGTATTTCGTATTTGAATGGAAAATGCATGTAGCATGCTTTTTGAAAAAAAAAAATGGTGGAAGATGGAGAGAGGATGTGACTTCAGTTGACTGTAGGAAGACAGTAGCCTGGTTTTGTCCCATTGTGTCTTTGTGTCATTCTGCAAGATATGAAGATGGATCTATCAAAATAAGCTGTGCTTGCTGATCTCTATCTGCCTTGACTTCTCACAGACCAGCTGAACTCTGCACTGGTCCAGCATTGCCTTATATTTGTCCTGCCTGGCCCTGCACTACGGGAACTGGGAACATGGGTGAAATAAGCTCCAGAGAACAGTGTTGTTTGATCGGTGTTTCTCTTCCTGACTGTTGCTTTCTTGTCCCTTTCATCAAGGAGTTAGTTGGCCGCTTGATTGGCAAACAAGGAAGATATATGAACTTCTTGAGGCAAGCGTCTGGTGCCAAAATTTATGTCTCAACACTGCCTTATTTCTGTGACTCCCAGATCTGTCACATCGAAGGTAAGTGGAATGTCTCTTTATTCATGGTCTAATATGTAGCTTGGGGGCCTTAATTGGATGGGCAAGGAATTTAGACAGATTTGGTGGCTTGGTAAGTCCAGTGCTTTACAAACCTGTTCTGTTCCATGCTGTTACAGTAGAGGTATATGTCAAGTCGCTTGTGCCTTGGCATGTGAACCCTCTGTTCTAGAGGTGAGAGTGCACTTTAGCATCTTTGGCTGCTGCAGTTTAACCAACACCTTTTGCAGGATCACAGGCTTGAAGGAGGAGCTATGGGATGTGTATCAGCAATTGCAGTCTTGACTGGGAAGGATGTTAGATTAATTGTGGCTGAAAAATATCTGCCAGTGAATTGGGTTTATACCGGAGGCTAAAGCTGTTGAAACTGGGGCCTGGCGGTCTGAGCTGCTCATGTTGGTCTGATACCAGGTTACACGGCCGATCTATTAAAACTGAAATTATTGATGTAGTGCAGAAGGCTTCTGTTAGCTGTATTGCTTTGCATGCTGGGAGTGTCCCCAGCATATGTGTGCTACAGACTTTCTGTGGAATTTTTGTCTTCCAGGCTACCCAGATCAAGTAGAAAAAGCACTGAGCCTGATTGGCAAGAAGTTCAAAGAGCTGTGTCTCACCAACATCTACGGTCTACCTCCGCCGACACCATTGACGCTTCATTCCCTCCTTATGACTGCCTGGGTAAGTCCCAGCTTGCTGGCCTTGCTGATATTAGGGGGGAAGGCTGTTGCTGGTCACTGCTGTCATGGTGTGCTGGATCTGTGTGGCTGCTTCACAAATGCCCTCAAAACCAGTTTGATTTTGTGTGGCTATCTGTCGTCCAGCTTGTGTGACTGTTGCAGATCAGATTTATCTACCTGTTCTTTCACTACTGTTTCCATTCTGCCTGAGCTGAGAAATGTAGAATCGTAGAATAATTTAGATTGGAAAAGAACTCTAAGATCATCAAGTCCAAGCAGAGTGATAAGGTCTCCCCTGAGCCTCCTTTTTCTCCAGGCTAAACAACCTCAGTTCCCTGAGCCACTCCTCATAAGAGTTGTTCACACCCTTCACCAGCTTCGCTGCTCTTCTCTGCACGCACTGCAGCACCTCAATGTCCTTCTTGTAGTGAGGGGCCCAAAACTATTTGACGTGCAGCCTCGGCAGTGCTGAGTACAGGGGGACGATCACTGCCCTGGTGCTGGCCACACTGTTCCTGATACTAGCCAGGGTGCCACTGGGTTTCTTGGCCACCTGGGCACACTGCTGGCTTATGTTCATCTGGCTGTCAACCAGCACCCCAAGGTCCTTTTCTGCCAGACAGCTTTCTAGCCACTCTTCCCCAAGCCTGTGGCTTTGTGTGGGGTTGTTGTGACCGAAGTGCAGGACCCAGCACTTAGCCTTGTATCTCATACTTTTGGCCTGGGCCAATCAATCCAACCTGTCCAGATCCCACAGCAGAGCCTTCCTACCCTCAAGCAGCATCAACACTCTTGCCCCCCTTGGTGTCATCTGCAGACTTACTGAGGGTGCACTGCATCCCCTTGTCCAGATAGTGGATAAAGATGTTAAACAGAACTGGCCCCAGTACTGAACCCTGGGGAACACCATTCATGACCAGCTGCACGGTGGATTTAACTCCACTCACGACAGCTCTTTGGGCTTGGCCATCCAGCCAGTTTTTTTACCCAGCGAAGACTACACCCATCCAGGCCATGAGCAGCCACTTTCTCCAGGAGAATGCTGTGAGAAACGGTGTCAAACGCATTCCTGAAGTCCACGTAGACAACATTCACAGCCTTTCCCTCATCCACTAAGCAAGTCACCTTGTCCTAGAAGGAGATCAGGTTAGTCAAGCAGGACCTGCCTTTCATGAACCCATGCTGGCTGGGCCTGATTGCCTGGTTGGTCCTGTATGTGCTGTTTGATGGCACTCAAGATGAGCTTCTCCATAACCTTCCCCAGTACCGAGGTCAGGCTGACAGGCTGGTGGTTCCCTGGATCCTCCTTCTGGCCATTCTTGTAGATGGGCATCATTTGCTAACCTCCAGTCAACCGAGACCTGCCTGCCTCGTCAGGACTGCTGATAAATGGCTGAAAGTGGCTCAGTGAGTGCTTCCGCCAGCTCCTCAGTACCTACGGGTGGATCCCATCTGACCCCATGGACCTGTGTGTGTCTAATCAGTGTAGCAAGTCATTAACCATTTCCCCTTGGATTATGGGGGCTTCATTCTGCTCCTCGTCGCGGTCTTCTAGGTTAGGGGGCTGGGTACCCTGAGAACAACTGGTCTTACTATTGAAGACTGAGGCAAAGAAGGCATTGAGTACCTCAGTGTTTTCCTCATCCTTTGTCACTGTTTCCCCGCCACAACCAGTAAAGGATGGAGATTCTCCTTATCCCTCCTTTTGTTGCTAATGTATTTACAGAAACATGTTTTATTCTCTTTTACAGCAGTAGCTGGATAAAGTTCTAGTTGGGCTTTGGCCCTTCTGATTTTCTCCTTGCATAACCTCATGACATCCTTGTAGTCCTCCTGAGAAAAAATTAAAGGCATTTTAGATGCATCCCAAGCAAAGTAATGCTTGGAAGCTGCCCAGCACAACGGCTCTCTAGCAGCCAGGGCAAATTACTTGAAAATGAGGCCTCTGTGACAAATCTTGGACAATCTCTGCAAAGGTTACCTTGATCTTTAAAAAGCCCGTGGGCAGGGAGTTCTTGCAAGTTGTACTGTGTTGATAGCGCAGCGTGACTTGGCTTGCATCGCGTCTGACTCTGCTCACTGATCTCTTGGGTAAGTCGGTCCTACAGCTGCTCTGTGGCGATAGCCTTTTTGTGTACAAGATGGGCCCCACCCCAAGTCTGATTTCCTTTAGAACAGCATGGAGTAACAGTGAGTAGCTTTCTGCTCCTGATCCAAAGTGGCCTTTGGAGGTGAAAATACCAGCGTGCCAGGGCTCTTCCACCCATGGCTGTAAGCCTCAGGAGCTGCTGGTGGAACGTGGAGTTGCTGTGAATGAAGCTTGTGTTGCAATGAACACTAATGAGAATTTCTTTCCTCCACGCGACAGCTGTTCCTCCCGGATGGAGTCACTATAGAGGTGGTCGTGGCAAACCAAGTTGATGCAGGGCACATGTTTCTACAGCAGCATACACACCCCACGTTCCACGTCCTGCGTAGCCTGGACCAGCAGATGTGTGTCTGCTATTCTCAACCTGAAATTCCAACCCTACCAACTCCAGTAGAAGGCAAGTAACTTGACTTCTTACAGACTGGTCAGCTGAGAACCCTTCTTTTAGGGTCATGCAAAAGCCTGGTGCCCCTGAGTCAGGCTTGGGAAGCTTTGCAGTGGATGACAATGGGGTAGATGACCTGTCATTTCATCTTTTTTTAAGTCACTGCCAGAGTACAGGTGTTCTGCTCCTCCTTACCCCACGACCATCCCTGGAGTGCTTGCTCAGCCACTTAGCTGCATGTTGAAATTCAGAATGAGATAAAGTCCATCGCAGGTTGTTTCTAATCAGCTTGTCATTTGGTGTGTGATTGTTAACAAAGTGTGGAACTACTCCCAGATCTTCATAGTGGCACTGTCTGCACTTGGTGTAAAGCAGAGGGGGCATCACATGGAAGGGTTTGTTAGCGCTTACGTTCCTTTTCGGAGGCAGACCTCACCATTAGTGCCCAAAGGCTGGAAGGGAACTGGACACCTGGGTAGGACAGCATGGTACTGGCAAACAGACTTGAGAGTAAAACCCACCTCTCCGGTGTCCCAGCTGCAGGCCTGGTCTGATGGGGCTGTGGGTGGCGTTGAAAGAAGATGGAAGCAGCGTAAGAAAAGCTGTTGATTCTCGATAGATAACTGTGCAGCACTACTAATGCTAGAAGTGCTGATTTCTGGAAATCCACTTATACTGAGCCTTTCTCCTCTGTACTCTTATGTTTTGCAGTTGGTATTATCTGCGCGGCTCCAGGCCTGGATGGGGCGTGGTTACGGGCTCAAGTTATTAGCTACTTCGAAGAGACTGATGAAGTGGAGCTCAGATACGTGGACTATGGAGGATATGACAAAGTGAAGATCAACACACTCAGACAAATCAGGTCTGTAGCTCCTCTTCCATAGCCTGAGGCCATAGCTGGCTTGAATCTTCATCAGAGCCATCCATGTCATTTGCATTGCTTATGGGTTTTTCCACAGCTGAAGTGGGAAATGGTAGGAAAGTTTGTCTCGGCAGCGGCTGTGGATTCCTTGGGAGCACAGCAAGCTCTTGCAAGGCTTTTTTGAAGGGGAGGGGAAAGGAAATGGCAACTGCTGCCACTTCAGCATGGAAGCTGAACAAAAGGATGCCTTCAGGAGGCCCAAAGTGTAGTTAATTGAGCTAGGAACAGGATTCAGATTCGCTATGGCCTGGCCTCTTTGGCTGGGTGAGCCATATTGGATGAGGGTTTTCTTACACAAGGCCACTGAATACTTGATTGTGCCCCAGAGGTGGGAGAAAAGCAGAGTGGTCTCCGTTACGGAGGTGTTTTTTGCTTGGAGCCCAGTCCAGCTCAGCATGCTAATCACCTCATCGGATGGTTTATTGCTGCTGCTTGGAGTGCAGGGAGAGTAGTCTGTTTTTTGTTTTTGTTTTTTTCTGACTGTCATCAGTTTTAAACTGATTTCCTATGAGAACAATTGATTAATCAGTGTCCCCTTAAAGAATATGAGAGTAACTTAAAGCCATGTTCTTATTCTGATTCTGTTTTCTTTAAGGTCTGACTTTTTATCACTACCTTTCCAAGGAGCGGAAGTTTTACTAGACAACGTGGTGCCGCTTCCAGGTAATGGAGCTCTCGAGACGTACCATTGGCACTCCTCCTGCAGATTTAAATGGTTGCCAACTGTGTTGAAGCAATAATTCTGTCTAAACTTTCTCCCTACTATTGCAACCACAGCCTCTGATGTGACTAAAGCAAGGACTGGAAAAATTGTATTGTGTTCTTCTAGATGTGCTAGCACAGCATAAGCTGTCAGACTCCAGGGGAAAGATGATAAAACGTCCAGGCTTTTTCCTGCATGAAGGAGAGAGTGAATTACTTTCTGAAACAGCAAGTTGGCAGGACTGGCAGAGTGTAGGTGAAGTAGCTGTAACTACTCTGCCTTCTTCTGTCACAGAGTAGCTGTAAATACAAACTTAGTTTTTAATCTGCTAGAGAAGTATCTGACATTTTTCCTACTAAATTGACTGAGGTGTATAGTTCTGTGTTCAAAAGACTACCCTCCAAGCACTGGAAGAATGTCAGTCACTGCCTAGAAATGCTTTCTGTTATGCATTTTTCCCCTTTCCTAGTGGTGTTAGGGCCGCGTGCTGTGCTGGCGTCTGACACCACCCCTCTGGGTGCGGAAGGGGTGGCTGCAGGAGCGAGGGGTCCGGCCAGGCTTCGCCGCTGGGCTGTGGCTGGCGGCACTGCGGGAGGTACAGGTTCTGCCTCTGCTGTTGGTGGACACAAGGTTTAGGCTGCTTCTAGCCGCAGTCAATGTTCTGCGTGTTCCCTGAGGTCATCGGCTCCTGCCCGTATTTGTGGGGTTGTCAGGAGCTCGCTTGCTGCTGGAGGTGGTCTCAGGGTGGAGAGCACAAAGGAGAAACTTTATTTGCAGCAAATTGGTTGGAAATAAGCAACTTTCCTCCAAAATGAAAACACTTATGTCCGGTCTACAGTGTAGGCTGTAACTGTATTGCCAAGGACACAGGGGTTTCCTGCAGGAGGAGGTATGGAGTTAGCAGCAGGACCCACGTAAGCTGTGCAGGCTGAGAGCTTAGAGCTGCCAGGGCTTGCCGAGACGCCGTTTGGCACTGTCCGGGTGCCAGCCTGGCTGCTGTATGTCCTGGGTTTGGCCAGAACAGGGTTAATTTTCACTGGAATCCAGGAAGGGGCGCAGCCAGGCGGGCTGACCCAACCTGGCCAAACAGAGCAGGGTATTCCATACC